AATCCAAAAATGAAAGAGCCCAAGAACTTATGGAGAGGATAAAGACTGAGCAGAAAATTCTAATTGTATTCTGTGACCTCCATAAAGAACTTAATTTGGGTAAGTTAGGGATTCCATATGGTTCATGTCACACAGGTTGCAAGATACTACTAACTTCTACAAGTGAAGGTGTGCTATCCAATAGCATGTATACCCAAAAGAATTTCTTGGTTGAATGATTCTATTAATGTATAAAAACTTTGGTTGAGAGGTTTCAGATCATATATGTTGCAAGGGGTGTTAGAGAGAGGATAATTGAGTCATTTGCTAAGTGAGATAGGCCTATATAAAGGGTTTAGTGTGATATGTTTAGAGTGTGAGATAATGTAATTTTTACCATAAAAAAGGAAGGTTAACTTGGGTCTCTCACCTCAAGAATCCTCATAAGTTATGAGGTTTGTTTATCACTCTTGTGTAAGGGATGATTAGTGTTAACCCAAATGGATTACAATGATTATAAGAGTATGTGCTCTATCATGAATAATATATATGATTTTCATCTTTTTTCTTCTTATTTCTCTCAAATCTCCAAGGTTAGCATGGTATCATGAGCAAGTCAATATTTGCGCCAAAAATATCGAAGCGATGATTCCTGTTTTGCCATCGTAGCCGAGTGGTTCAATTGTTCTGTCTGTCAATAGTTTCAAACGCTGCGTTTTGAGGATTCTTTGAGCAACCCTGCCTTTCTTGTTTCGCCGTCGTCACTAGCTTCCTTTCCGCGTTTTGCCTTCACAATCTTTGTTCGGTCTTGGCCATAGCCGTCGTCATGCACAGCGCTGCTGAACATCCTCACCGCTGTACAAACTTCCTTCCAAGATTGTTTCTATCGCCGTCGAAGAACTTCAAAGATAGCAAGTCGAGCCTCACCTTGTCACCTCATCTATTAGGCGATCTCTGGGTTTAGCGTCGCGGGGTATCATCTTCGGAGCCAGTTGGTGGATATGCGTTGACACCGTGGTTTCCAGCTTCGTCAAGGCTACTTCAACGATTGCTCCTCTGACTGCTGCAAGATCTTCCATCATGTTCTTTGTATTCACACCCTTTACTCCTCTCTGTTTCAAGATCCAGTCCATCGTCAAGCTTGATGGTGGAAATTGAGGAATCTTTCGGTGATGGGGGCAAATGGGCTTGACATACGCTGAGAACCCTATAGTTGATGAAGTTGTGAGGACTGAGGAGAGAGATACTTCGTTTCGACATTTCACCAAGACATCAAGATTATATTCACTGATGCCCAGTTCAAGATCATGGAGCACTGTGGATGCAAGGTTGTCTTCTTTTAAATCTGCATTCCAATCTAATGTTGAATGCCTCACTAGCTGCATCTTGAGACCCCGACGATAATGCCTCTATCACTCTTCTTCAATGGCGCATTTTTCCTATTTTCTTGAAGGCGTACGAAGCTGGGCTATGTATCATCTTGTGTTGAAAACTCTATTATCCTGCAAGTGGAAATATTGCTTCTATAAAGTTTGCAAACTGCTCTTGTTGTTTTCATAGTGGGCAAGAATAAAAGAAGAAACCGTTGTTTTATATTGCAAGATGAAAGGGAATATTGCATATATATCTTGATAAGTCTGAGATTATGAATCAATAAAAGAGGAAGCTAATCAATCGTTGAAAACATTAAGACTTGACAAGGAGGAACCAAAAAAAAAAGTGTTGCATGAGAAGTATGATGCAGGAGGTCCCAATGTTGCTCAAGTCAAGAGCTTCGGTTTTTTAGCATCTCATCACTGCTTGGGTATTGGAGCAAGGCTAATGAAAAGCTCTGCTTCTGAGATATTTCAAGAGCAAAGAAGAGATTGAGAGGATATTGCAGGAGGCAAAGAAGTAGAAGCACAGGATGAGGAAGTAAACAAGAAGATGGAAGCTTGCACAGTGTTTGTGGAAGTCCTAGTCCTGGCTCACTAAGATGAGGTTCTGGGAAGAAGAGGGTTTCCACTACAATATGTTAGAAGAGACCCAGCTAAAAGTCCTACTACATACTTGTAGCTAGTTGGTGATAACTTGCTTTGGAAACTATGCAAGAAATATAGTCAATGCTTGGGTGGGACTTCAATAAATGAGTTAATGATAGTAGCTGAAAATATTTTCCTCTACCTGCAAATTCAAGCATGTCTGAAGAGAATCAACAAAGTAGATGTCGGGAAGAGTACTCTGACATCATGTTGTTTTGTATATTGAAATTGCAAGTTCACTTCATGTATAGGTGTGTTACGAAAGTGTCTCCACAACAAAAAAGGGTAGGTAACATGGTCCTATTTCTCATTTGATTTTCATCTTTCTTCTTCCTATTTCTCTCAAATCTCCAAAGTTAACAAGGGGCTTATTATATGCTTGTTTTTTTCTCCTACTTCACTGGATTATGCACAATAATGGCATGCGTTGCTTGCGTTCTACAATAATATTGCGTAGTTTTCTTTTGGGTTTGCATTTCATTTTGACAGTTTGTTTAGCTTCTGCTGATACTTCATCACTGTTTTATACCACTGTAACAGAGTTTCTGCACTTTGCTGATATAATAATACAGACGAATATGTATTTCATCTTATTTAAATATTAGTATGTCTTAGGCCACATGGGTCCTTGATAAATCCCTATTTTAGTACGTTATTTGATATCTTTTTAGAGATATTTATAAATTAAAGTAGGATAATTCGTATTGATTATAGATATTTTAGATTAAATATTGATTGCATAAAATTAGAAATTTAAAACAAAAATCTTATCATATTTTTATTTTCTTTTAAATAATTGATTTTGGACTATATAATAGTATCTTAATTTATCAGGTTTTAAAAAAGAAATAAAGATAACAGGAAAGTAAAAAAAAAAAAAAAAGAGAGAAGGGGAAAAAAAGAGACGGGCATCAAACTATTGTGTTAATATATATACATTGATGGAGGGGGGGACCAGAGATGCCACGTACAATCACAGCCGCCAAGAACCCTTCAATTCCTTTCATCAATACACATGCGCACGTTTTTGGCCCCAAAAAAAAAAAATCCACATACACACGCCGCAACCCTTCAATTTGAATCTTTCAAATTCATCTTTCTTCTCCTCCATCAACAACGTCCCGCACGTCATTGCCACCAACATAACCGTCCTCCATCGCTACTGAATCTTTGTCATGAGTTGTAGCTTGGTTCAAGACTATGATAAGTTAGGTTTGCTGTGCTCTTTGGATTAAATTCAATGGCTTCAATTTGAAAGCTACAGAGGGGAGTTTAACTCTAGTCCTTAGTTTAAATTATTTTATTGATGATTTCTAGTTTGAAGTTTGTCATATTTAGTTTAAAACTAGACATTATTAGTTGTAATTCTTGGTTTGGACTGTAATTATTGAGATTTGGATTGATATTTATAAGTTTGAGTACTTGGTTTATACATATATTTATGTTTATGCCTTTATTAATTTATTATTAGCATGATTTTTATGCAAGTTGTATAGAGATGATGCCTAAAGTAAATTTAACAAGTAATTAATATTTTAGTTGAGTATTAACTTAAAAAGAATAACTTCTATAAACCAATTCTTATTATTTGAGTTACTCCGATATCATTAAACAAGTTAGGATAGTCATTGATTTATTTTTTAAGAGCATTTTCATCATTGATTTCTTAAAATACAAATTTGAATTTTTCATCTTCTCTTTATTAAGAATATAAAAAAAATTAGTTTAGAATTATTTTTTTATTTACATAATTGGTTTTATAAAAAGAGAAATCCCTTTTTCAAAAGCCTCCTTTTTAATGTTTTCGTGATTTAGTTAACTTTAGAATTAATAAAAAGTTTCAAATCAGTCCTTCCGATTTGAAATTAATCGGTCGACTTGCCTTAACAAATTTACATATATCTGTGTGTATATATATAAAGTGTGACTACAAAGATGTTTCTTTTTTCTCGCCGTTTGCGATCATCCTTTGATTTCTTGCAAATAACTCACATTAAGCATTAATAACTTATTTATTCTAGAATTATAATGAAGAAGATGAAAGATATTTTATGGGGAAGTTCCTTCTATTGATTACCTACAAAATTTCTCATCTTGTCGGTCTCGTGGAATTTTAATCAAAGTGTTGGATCACCATTAAAACCCATATATCGTGCCCAGTCCTACGGTTCTTCTCTGTATTACTATTGCAAGGCAGAATAGTCTATTCTGTCAAGCTCTGTAATACCTATACGCGTTTTGTTATTATTGAATTGGTCGTCATTTTTGGTTGTGATAAGGCAGAATATATACATACATACATAAATATGTATATATATATATATATATATATAGAGAGAGAGAGAGAGACATGTATCGGACCGCGATATGAGTCATTTGGTTTAACAAGTCCGAAACCACGACCCTGACTTTTCATTAATGGCCTAGTCTTGACTTTCATTTTGATTGATTCAAATCAATTTCTGGGATCTTCCTCTGCCTTTTATTGCTCCCTTATAAAGCTCACGTTGCTATCAGAAGTTTCCTCAACTCTGCAAACAACAATCCTTTGAATCTTTTCATTGGTCTCCTGGAAAATGGTACTCCCCTGTTTCCTTTGAGCTGTTTTTCTTTCATTTCTTTCATTTTGGCTCTATGGTGTATTTAATTTAAACCCATGGTTTAGACAAGAAATCTTTAATTCAGTGCCTTTTTATTGGACAACAACATCTGTTTGAAATAATTAAATTTATGGATAGACAAACCTGAGCTTAAAACCTACTTATGCTCTCAATTTTTCAGCAGAAGTTGCAAGAATAATTAAACTTTGAATCCATAGGCTTGCAGCAATCTGGAATGGAGAACAAGAACAAAGATATTGAGAGTATTGAACACTCTGTTACACCTTTGGCGGAGGAAACAAAACAACACTTTGTTCGTACGCCTCTCTGATTTCGTAATCTTGCGCGTCAGTGCAACTACAATGCTTCTGATGTTTCGCAATGGTGCTTGGAGAAAGTTATGGAGGCTTTAGTTGATCCTAATACTCACTTAATTGGGGTTTATGGCTCACATGATCAATTCAAAGACGCTCTGCTTGAAAAAGTTCGTAGAAGAGTCCACCGAGACAAACTGTTTGATATGGTTCTGACTGCAACTGTAACCAAAAAACCCGATGTGAAGAAGATTCAAGAAGACATTGCGCGCCAACTAGGGTTCTCTTTTAATCACAAGTCCAAAAATGAAAGAGCCCAAGAAATTGTTGAGAGGATAAAGAATGGACAAAAATTTTTGATTGTATTTTGTGACCTCCATAAGGAGCTTGACTTGAGTAAGGTGGGAATTCCATATGGTCCAGATTACACAGGTTGCAAGATATTACTTACTTCTACTACTGAAGATGTGCTATCCAACCACATGCATACCCAAAAGAATTTCAAGGTCTGATGATTTTGTAGTGGTTAAAAAAAAGCTTCGGCATATATGTTGTAATGGGCTTATTGTTTGCTCTGTTTTTCTCCTCCTTAGGATTATGTATAATAAAATGTTATGGATAGGGTGTAATGGGCTTATTGCATGTGTCCTTCCACTAGATTATTTATTATATAATTAATGATGAATCTGCATGACAATTCGATTTCTGTGGATGCTCCTTCCCTTGATTGTCCCGTAAATGAGATTTTTCATCCAATTCTTATCAAGTCAAAAACGGCGACACTTCGAACTCCTTGTTCAACTCATCATGTTCCTCTTGCTTCTTCATATACGGGTCCATTTAAGGGATCTTTCTCTCCTTCATACTCAAGCGTAAATTTCTCCTCTTGCCCTCCAGGGAATTACAGCTTCTTGTATTCAACAATATTCTCCATTGAATTTTTTCATTGATCTCCACGAAGGCCCTCGTACTCCTTGTTCCTGAGCTAGGAGGTTCCTTCGTCTCTTGAGTTTTACAAGATAACTTTTTTCCAATGGGGGCCCTTGCTTCAATTTGGCATCGTCTTCGCTATCATCTCAATTTAAGGAAAATCCTCATGGAGAAGCCTCGTAAGAAAGTTAAGGGTGCTTACCATTATGACAAACGTCCTTATCATCTAGTATCACATCCTATGGGTATCAATGGTTTTGGAACTTTAGACAGGGGAGCCATAATCCTAGAGAAAGTTATGGAAGCATTGGCTGATCCTAATACTCACTTACTTGGAGTTTATGGCTTATATGACCGGATCAAAGACAGTCTGCTTCAAAGAGTTTGTAGAAGAGTTCAAAGAGACAACCTGTTCGATATGATTCTGACTGTAACTATAACTAAAAAACCTGATTTGAAGAAGCTTCAAGACGAGATTGCAAGCCAGCTGGGGTTCACTTTTAATCAGAAGTCCAGATATGAAAGAGCCAACGAACTGCTTCACAGGATAAAAATTGAGCAGAAGAAAATCCTCATTGTACTTCGTGATCTTTACAAGGGCTTTGATCTGAGAAAAATAGGAATTCCGTATAGCCCAGATCACCTAGACTGCAAGATATTGCTCACTTCTACGAGTGAAGAGGTGTTATCTAACCAGATGCAGACCCAAATAAATTTCATGGCCTGATTCTCTCAATTGATATGTGAATGCTTCAGGACGTCTCGCTCGCCATGTGTAGTTTTGCTAAATTTTAGTGTTAAGGTGTTTAAATAATGTCTTATGGCTATGATTTTTAAATCAAGTAAAATGTCTTGTATATAAATTTAGATTTGTTTGTGCAGGAAAGCCGAAATCTATTATCAAGTTGAAAAAGGGGGCATTATGGACTTCTAATCCAATGTCACCACATGGGCTATTTGCTATATCCAAGTCAATTTTCTAATTTTTTTTAAAACAATCAAAGTTTCGATTTCATAATTAAATTAGAGACTTATCAGTCCTATATATATATAGCCTTTGTCCTGTAACTATTGCCAAGTCCAAAACGACGACAACGTTTGCGCCTTTCCATCCATCATCTTCTCACTTTCCACTTGCCTCTTGCTTGTCACTTTCTGAGGTCCCCCTCTTCTTTATGCATGCTCCAATGTAACTTTAAAATTTGTCTTATTATTCCTAATCCTTCCATAGGGAGCGAGATTTTAGGATCCAAAAAGCTAAAATTATAAATTGACTACAATCAAGTCTCCTCAAGTCCCAGACAACGATATCTTTAATCTCTTTTTTTTTTTTTTTCCCCCTGTACAAAGATCTCTTTAACCTTTAGGGAAAACTATGTCCCGGGTTCTTATAGTTTTGGTCAAATTTGGTCAAGTTCCCTAGAGTTTATTTACTTGAATATAAGTTCTTATAATTTTAGTCAAATTGGGTCAAAATCCTTCTGTTAACTAACAGTGTTAAAAATAATTATGTGGCAAAAAACTTAATGAGTTGGCCATTTTTTTAAGATGCCTGGGCTTCTTTCCTCCAAATTGATGCCAGCTCAAGATTTTGGGAACCGGAAGATCGATCATTTGCGATTTTGGATGCACACTGTCATCTTCTTGCGCTTCTTCTAGATAGGAGTTTCATATTCTTTGAATGAGTTGTTCAAGTGATGATGGAAGGCTACACATCACAATAAATGAAGGCATCAGACGTAGAGAGAACACTTGGAATCTTACATAGAGCAAGTAAATGGATACAAATACAATGATTATATATTATGGTAGAAGGAGTTCCTTCTCAGATCTATACCTCCATCTCCGTTTTCCCCTCATTCCTCTAATACTAGGGATTTCAATGTGAGAAAAGAGTACTTGAAGATGCAAGTGCTTTTTCTAGTGTTCACCACCATTCCTGAACCCCTTCTCTCTCCCTCTCTCCCCCCAACCCTACAAATGAGGAAGACCAATTCTCATATGTTATTTGCTTTTGGGTTTGGTGTTGGAAATTGTGCCATAAGGGCTAATCATTGTGTTATGAACATTGTTGATTTATGAATTTCTTAATTATGTTATCATATTATTTGCATGTTTACTGTAATGACTATCCTTGAATAACTCATGATTTTATCCTAAATGTCCCTTGTCGGTCATCTATGTGGGAGCAGAGATGAAGTAAGACCAGTATGATTTTGAAGATGTATGAGATATAAATCAAAGTCATAGGCACATGTAAGAGTACAAGGTGTTGGACCGACCCGCTATGAGAGAGCTGCATGGGTTAAGTCATAAGCTTCTCTTATATACAAACCATGTCACTATGCCCTTTGACTTGAGATCATCATGGATTCCTACATGAGAAACGCTCAGCTTTGACCTAGTCAAAAGTCACTTTTGACCGAGTTATCATAAAGATTATGTTCAGGCTTAATGGTTTTTCATATGGAGGAATATGAATGATCAAGATGGAATTTGTCCCTCACATTCGTAGAGAGATATTACTGGCCCCTCGATGAGTGAGTCTGAGAAATGTATGGCCATACTATAATGGAAAGGTAGTTCCATTTCTATACTCAGACTACTCATAGATCGAGAAAGTAACGGTCAGGAATAGGAGGATGACGTTCTCCATGCCTCATCCATGACCAAAATGTCGTGTGGCAAAAGGGACGTGATATGGTTGTATGAAAGGTTACATCGTTCATCGATCCTCATATGATTTGGGTAGTCGTGATGTCTTGCTAGAGACTGCTTACGACTTGTGAGTCATTATAGTAAATGGCCCACTACCAACTTCATATGGGCCTACAGGGTTGCACACAAAATAGCCCAATACAAGCTATGATGTCCAGATTCATTGAATCTAAGATATGTCCAGATTCAATGAATAGTCTAGGGTGGACGTATATATATATATATATATATAGATATATAAATTCGCGTATATATATATTATATGATATAAGAGATATTTATGAGATTTGATTTATAAGGATAAATTAAATCTGTATCATTTTTTAAATTGATAAGGTATAATATCTCAAATTTGATTTATTAGAATAAATCAAATATAATTCCGTCATATCTTAATTGTGAATTAAATGAATAGGTGAATTAAATCTGTAGGACAGACTTAATATAAAAAAAACCATATTTATTTAATTAATTTCTTATCAGATTACGCAATATGTGATATTGTATTAATTTCGGAATTAATTTAAGATTAATTCCGAAATTAATACAATATCACATATTGTGTAATATGATATTAATTCCGAAATCCAATATCCTTAGTGTCCTATATATATTTGATATTAGGAGCTAGGGTTTTGGGCGTGTGAGAGTGCAAAACGTTTGCAGATAAGAAACGGCCAATAGAGAGACGGTGAGGACGGATTCTCAAAAACCCTAGAAGGACAAGAGGCGCTAGCACGTTGTGCGTGATTGGAATGCTGTTCGTGTGGATACCGGTAGAGGAAGCCGATCTGAGTTGTCGACTTCTCATAATCGAGAAGAAGAGCATAGGCATCCCGAACATCGAAATCCCTGAGCCACCATCGATTCGAATACCGTAGGTAACATCTCTTACTACTTGACTTAAACACAATCGGTAGATCCGGGCAAAGAATTGGAATTAAAGGTTATTTTCCGCTGCGTGTCTTCCAATTCCTTACATTTGGTTCAAAAATTGCTTCCAGATACTGCTAGAGCAAGAAGAATCTTGCTTAGCTTCTTGTAGAGGTTGTCCCTTTGGGTTCCTTCCTATCATCTTGTCTCCGATCTATTACCTACCTCTTCGTCTTTTCCCTCATTCCTTCAATTTGGGGGCTTCAATCAAGAGTAAAGGAGAGTTTTTGAAGACCCAGGTGCTTTCTCCATCACCTTCTCTACATTTTTTTTTTTTACCTTATGCGCTTCCTTCTTTCATGGCCTTCCACACAATGAATTCATCTAAGTTTATATAATGGAAAAGATAAGTGTAATTGTCCCCCTTTGGACACCGCGTCCTATTTCATTGATGATAGATATGAAACTCAAATATACTAGGAACACGAGAAGGAGACAATCTAGCATTCCGCAATAGCACCAGTTTGGAGGAAAAAGAAACCCAGTCATCTTAAAAAAATTTCCAACTGATTAGTCATTTACCATGTAATCATTTTTAACAGGGTTAGTTAACAGAAGGGCTTTGACCAAATTTGACACCAAAATTATAGGGACTCAGAATATAGTTTTCCCTAATGTTTTCATTAATTTTTTTGATATAAAGTATTCTTAAGTTATTTTGGGTTTACGAATAATATTCATCGGACCAGAAGCATTAAGGTTAAAATCCTTTCAAGAAGCATGCTTTATGAAATTGGAATTTATATTCTTTTCCTTACATGATAGAGCTAGTTACTATCTCAACCAATAATTTGTTGATAATCTTTTCATTAATTTAATTAAGGAATGATTAATATGCTTGTTTCTTTTCTATCCTATTGGCCCAATATCTTAGTAAGCTAAACCACATCGTCATGAGGAGCACGTTTAGGCTTCAAGGATTGGGTCTAAT